ACCCACTACATCTTATATCTTGAGTCCCCGTACTCACTCTTCCCACATGTCAAATCTCTGGATCCATTACATGTTAAATCTTGAGTTCCTATGCTCACCCTTTTTACATATTGGGTCCTTGCACCCACTACATTTTATATTTTGAGTCCCCGCGCTCATTCTTCTCATATCTCATATCTTTGGATCCACTACATGTTATATGTTGAGTCCCCGCGCTCACTCTTCTCACATCTTAGGTCCCTGTGCCCATTACATCTTATATCTTGAGTCTCCGAGCTCACGCATCTTACAACTCGTGCCCCCACGCCTAAAACATCTTATATCTTAGTCTCCAAGATCACTCATCTTACAACTCGTGCCCTCACGCCTAAAACATCTTATATCTTGAGTCCCCGCGCTCACTCTTCTTACATCTTAGGTCTATATGCCTATTGCATGTTATATCTTGAGCCTTTATGCTCACTCTTTTAATGTTTCGAGCCCCGCGCTCATGTCTTAATGATCAAGCCTCTACGCTCACTTTGTTAATCCTTTGAGCCCCGCGCTCATGTCTTAATGATCAAGCCCCCGCGCTCATATCTTAATGATCAAGCTCCCGCGCTCATATCATAATGTTTCGAGCCCCGCGTTCATGTCTTAATGTTTCAAGCCCCCGCGCTCATGTCTTAATGATCAAGCCTCGCGCTCATGTCTTAATATTTCGAGCCACGTGCTCACTCTCTTAATGATTCGAGCCCCTGCGCTCATCCTTTTAATGTTTTGAGTTTCTGTGCTCACTCTGTTAATCTTTTGACCCCCGCGCTCAAATCTTAATGTTTCAAGCCCCCGTGCTCATATCTTAATGATTGAGTCCCCGCGCTCATGTCTTAATATTTCATGCCCTCGTGCTCACGTTTTAATGTTTGACCCCTCGTGCTCATATACATTTTTTATGTTTCAAGTCCTGTGCTCATGTTTTAATGTTTTGAGTTTCTGTGCTCACTCCATTAGTCTTTTGAGCCTCCGCACTCACTTTTAATGTTTCTAGCCTCTTTGCTAATTTTGTTAATGTTCCAAACCCCCATACTCATTCTCTTTTTCTACATTTCAAGCCCTCGCGCTCATAACTCTCAATATTTTGGAGCCCTGAGTCCACTATTTTCATATTTTGAGTCCTCGCGCTTATAACTCCCAATATTTTGGATCTCTGAGTCCACTATTTTCATATTTTGAGTCCCCGCGCTCATAACTCTCAATATTTTGGATCATCGAGTCCACGGTTTTCATATTTTGAGTCCTCGCACTCATAACTCTCAATATTTTGGATCCATGAGTCAACTATTTTCATACTTTGAGTCCCCGCGCTCATGTCTTAATATTTCATGCCCTCGTGCTCACGTTTTATTGATTGACCCCTCGTGCTCATATACATTTTTTATGTTTCAAGTCCTGTGCTCATGTTTTAATGTTTTGAGTTTCTATGCTCACTCCATTAGTCTTTTGAGCCTCCGCACTCATCTTTCACTGTTTCTAGCCTCTTTGCTAATTCTGTTAACGTTCCAAACCCCCACACTCATTCTCTTTTCTACATTTTGAGTCATCGCGCTCATAACTCTCAATATTTTGGATCCTTAGGTCCACTATTTTCACATTTTGAGTCCTCGCGCTCATATCTCTCAATATTTTGGATCCCTAGGTCCACTATTTTCACATTTCGAGTCCTCGCGCTCATAACTCTCAATATTTTGGATCCCTGAGTCCACTATTTTCATATTTTGAGTCCCCGCGCTCATAACTCCCAATATTTTGGATCTCTGAGTCCGTTATTTTCATATTTTGAGTCCCCGCACTCATAACTCTCAATATTTTGGATCACGAGTCCACCATTTTCATATTTTGAGTCCTCGCGCTCATATCTCTCAATATTTTGGATCCCTAGGTCCACTATTTTCATATTTTGAGTCCTCGCGCGCATAACTCTTAACTCCTTGGATCTCCGAGTTCACTACTTTCACATTTCGAGCCCCGTGCTCTCAACTCTCAACAGTTTGGAACCCTGTGTCTACTATTCGTATTGTTTTTAGATCTTATATTCTCTAATTTGTGCTAAAATCTCGTGATTATCTTTTCTCTAAGTGGTGAATACATGCAACTTTTGTCTTAGACGAAATTGGTGTTTTCTTTACTTATATTTTACTACGATAATATGGAAACAAGAGTTGTTTATATTATCTAGTAAAATTAAGTAAAGAGTGGCAACTGCAGTAACCCAATTTCGTCCGGGAAATGTCAATTTATTTTAAAAAATAACAAAAAAAGGTATGTACAAGAAAGAATAAAAAAGACAAAAATATAAAAGGCAAATGTAACACCTCAATTTTCATACTTTTGTGAAGGGTAATTTAATAATTTTCATATGTTTTTAATAGCTCAGAATGGGCTGTTCCCACAACTGGAACGGGTCGTTCCCAAACTGGAACGGGCCGTTCTAACCTTCCAAAAAGATCTATAACTTCTAGTCTAGAACGGGCTGTTCCAAAACTGGAAAGGGACGTTCCAACCTTCCAAAAACAACTATATACTCTAGTCCGGAACGGGCTGTTCCAAAAATGGAACGGGCCGTTCCAACCTTCCAAAAACAACTATATACTCTAGTCCGGAACGGGCTGTTCCAAAAATGGAACGGGCCGTTCTAACCTTCCAAAAAGATCTATAACTTCTAGTCTAGAACGGGCTGTTCCCAAAAATTGGAACGGCCCGTTCCCAAACCAGAACGAGCCGTTCCAACCTTCAAAAAAGACCTATAATTTTTAGCCTAGAACGGGTCGTTCTCAAACTAACAAAATACCTATAAATTCTATCTTAGAACGGGCCGTTCCGAAACTGGAACAAGTCGTTCCAAATATGGCCGTTGTGAGTAAAATTGTGACCCCGGAACAGGCCGTTGCGGATTCAGAACGGGTCGTTCCGGTCCCCCTTGAAAGTCTATAAATAGTGGCCCTTGCCTTCCCAAAAGGCACCCACACACACATCTCCACCTTGGACCAGAGGGAGCTCAGAAGGAGAAACCAACAAGTTACCACTTCTTGAGCGAAGAATAGTGAGTATATCGAACTCACTTTTTTATTTATTTATTTATTTTTATTTTATTTATTTTTATTTTATTTTTTTATTAGTAATATCTGTTATTTTAAAAAGTTTATTTATCATCTTAAAGTCTTATTTAAATTCAAAATGTGATTAATGTATTAAATATTTTATTTGGAGGAATGGTTAATTAGATGTGACATCTTTTTAACTTTTGAATTTAAAGTACAAGTTGTGACAGCTTATCTTTAAATTTTTTCTCCAAAAACAAAAATGTCCAATCAATAAATTTTTTAATATCATAACATCACTAGTAATAATTATAATTAAAATTTTATTGAATTGACTTTAGTGTACACCTTAGTCAATTTTATATTTTTAGGGTGAATGAGCTGAGACAGTTCAAGAATCTTATATTTAACAAAAATAAAATTTAATTTAAAAATATCAACACACAAATATTTTTTATAAAGTACTACGTGACTCTGATTCTTCATTATACATGGAGATACGTAGGAGCAAGAAATAAATCTTGTCGAGCCAAAGAATAAAAATATATTATTTTCCTTTTTATATAACAATAATAATTTTAAACTTTTTATTATATACAATAATAGTTTAGTTAAATAAAATATATTTGATCATTTTAGTGAGATAATTATTTTATAAATTATAAATAATTAGTTTAATTAATTAAAGGTAATCGTCTTAAGACGAATGTTGTGAGATGCTAATACCTTCCTCACATGTAATCGACTCCTGAACTCAAAAATTTGGTTTTCGTAGATTATTTTCTATTTTATGGTTTTTCCAATGTTTTTCCTTAAAAACAACATTGGTGGCGACTCCTCTCTTTCAATTTATTTTTCGTCGTCCCGTCGTGACCGAGGTTGCTACAAATGGTGATAATGAGAGTGATTGTGATGATACTACATGGTGACAACAACAACAATAAGAAAAAATAATGATAATAACAATAATAGTGACTGTTCCTATTTTTTTTATTAAAACCTATTCATGGTGAGTTGTGAATAATACTTTTTTTTCTTTCTAATTTAGGTCTAAGCACTTATTATTTTAATAAATGATTTTTGATTTACCAAGTATGTATGGTTGAGTTCTTATTTTAATTCATCATTTATTACATTTCTTTATTAAAAGTATTTGATTACTGTTTTTCATAATATGATATTTATAAGGAAGTACTAAAAGGTGGACTTAAAACATTGATAATAAAAGAAAGAAACTTAGGATTTAATTATGGGAGTGAATTTAATTCTTTCAAGGAGTAATTGAATTAGAAAAAACATGAGAATAGTTGAATGTTGAACATAGCTACGACAAAAGTAGATGATCAAGTTAATTAGACACTCCTCTATATCTTGAAATGGAATGAAGGTCATCCTATATATGTTAATTCACATTCAATAAAAAGGTGGACTTAAAACATTGATCATAAAAGAAAGAAACTTAGGATTTAATTATGGGAGTGAATTTAATTCTTTCAAGGAGTAATTGAATTAGAAAAAACATGAGAATAGTTGAATGTTGAACATAGCTACGACAAAAGTAGATGATCAAGTTAAGACACTCCTCTATATCTTGAAATGGAATGAAGGTCATCCTATATATGTTAATTCACATTCAATAAAAAGCTTGGAAAAGTAATTAATCTGTTAAGCAATCATTATGTGGAACTCAATCTTGAAACTTTTTCCTATATATTAATCTTTCTATAATTTAGAATTGCTTGCATTAGGTTATTTTTAAATTTCAAAGCACTTTTTTTAATTCTACAACAGAAATGTTAATTCATTCGATTATTATTATTATTATTATTATTATTATTATTATTATTATTTTATTTCAATTAAATTATAATCAGATAAACATTAAACTCAATCATCACAAAAAGAACGATGTTTTATTGCTCAACAATAACATACACTTGTTCTACATATTATTGGTGTCATGGTTGTCTTTCATAAAGGTTATGACGAGACTCATAATCAATGCGATTGAGATATACAAATGTTGTTTGGATTGAGTTGCCATACCTTAATTGTAAGAACAACCTTATTATGTTGCAACTCATCCTTTTTTTTATGTAAATCTCTTTATTTTTAGTAAGTGAAGTTTTATAGACTTACAAACTTCTAGAAAAGCAAGTATCACTAAGTTCTGCCTTTAAGGCATTACAATAAAATCGAGAGTAAAATAAAATACTTAAAACTCAAAACATAAACTAAGATCATGAGTGGCCAACATATTAGCAGCTTGGTTAACCTCTCCCAACACTTAACACCATCTAACATTCTCTTCATTCTGATGAATCCCATTGATAACTTTCATCACATCGGCAAGAATGGACACAACAACACCCTTTAGGATGTAAATCTCTTAACTATGCTTGCATTGCCCAAGATAATAGTTGATCTCATAATTAAGATTGTATTACTTTAGGATGATCATTTGACCCCCTTCAAATTAGTACTTTGTCGAATCTACATAGTGAAAAATGGATTTATATGAGCATTCCAATGTTCAAATTAGTGAAAATTTTAGCAAAATAATTGTAAGTACATAAATGGTCTACTTAGGAGGTTTGATTTTCCTTCTCTTTTTTTACCATTTTTTTCGTACATTAAGTAATATAAGAGTTAATTACCTATACACTATCAGTGTAAAATTTTTTTTAAACTAGTAACCAATTATATCTTTTAATTGTGTCATGTCACTATTAAAAATAAATGTATTTATAGTGACATGGCACAATTAAAAGATATAATTAGTTGTCAGTGTAAAAAAAAACTTTATACTGACAGTATATAGGTAATTAACTCTTAATATAAAGGGCAACAACAGTTCATACATGATATTCATACTATCTTATCACGGTTATTATACAAAGAGTCCAAACAAAAAAAAAAGTTTATTATACAAAGCCTTTTATTTTAAAAATCAACATAAGTCTCTCTCGCTCAAACTGTGAAATCGTATTTTATCTTGTTTCCCTTTAAATTCTTTGTGTAATCACATAGTTATTATATTACGGGAATTTTTTTCTAGGTTTTGAAAACAAAGCAATAAAGACGTATAGAACTAAAGAGAGAAACAATGACAAGCACATTCTCTTATTTGAGATAACCTCTTGTATGGCTTTTTGAAGTCGACCCACATGATGTTCAAAATCTTTATAATGGATTTCACCAGGACGATGGAAAGTTGGGTCTCGTACTTCAATGAATTCATTCCAACAATTTTCAGCTTCCTTTGTGTTCCCCTGCATTTTGTATATAATTGCCTGCAAAATATTTCAAAAACAAGGCAACCACGAGCCAAGTTTAAAATAAAGAGATACATATCTATATAAATATTATAAACAAAATTAACCCATATGAATGTAATGCACGGGACTGATCTTTCAGTCTAAAAGTCTATGGTCAAAATGACTAAAAAAATGTTTTATTAAGGAAGGTTTATAATAAACTTATATTCAAACAATTTCTTATAGTTTTACGGTTCTTAACTCTTAGCTAAGAAATAAGCACATACCTTGTATAGTGGGCGTCGAGCATCCTTAAGAGAATCATCCTCCAAGCATTTACATTTCAAGGCCTTTTCTAAATCTGATTTTCCTCCCTGCTAATAAGTAATAACACACGTAAGGAATATCACTTTTCATGCATAATAAAGGAATTCGTGACAAATGAACATGTGTATGTAGTCTTCAATATATGTTAAACAATTTGTCTAAAGTTCCAAAAGTTACTAGGATGAGATTTTTGTTTTTAAGAAGTAAAATCATTCCTAGATATTTCAGTATATTCGAAAATTGAAATTTCATACCTTGTAGATGAGCATTTCTACGAGTAACATTTCAATCTCGTAGGATTCTTGTGGTTTGTTCTTGGAAGTGGCGTTTTTCAACGCATCTCGAAGTATTTTTTCTGCTTCATCTTCCTTTGCACTCATTTCCAGCTTCGCCGCATTTCGCTTCAATGTATTATATAACACAACTCATAGTTCAAATATACGAAACCTCGTTAATTTTCAAATATTGTTTATTTGCATATTCATTTTTTTACTAACGACATTTTACGAAACTGAATAAAATAAGGATGCAATCCGGTTAAGTTGAGTGGTGTTAGATGAAACTTGACCCCAAACCCATCAAAATATTTTGTGGGGTTAGGTTTGTTGACACTTTCCAATGTGACTTTGTTATAGATAAATCTAGAACATGAAAAAACAGATAAACTATATTAATGTGTGAAACTCAAACCTGAAGGCTTATTAAATCAAGAAATTCTTGTTGAAGATGTTCCTTTAGAAGTTTATCGGCGTTGTTCAATGCTGAGGGATTTACTCGGGCTTGTTTGAAATCATCATCTATCAATCTATCCAACACTGGGTTGCCACTATGGATTTCTCTAATGATGAAGGACCTTGTACGAAGAAGATCGTTGGGCTTCTTCCTGGGCTTGGGCCTTCTGTTGTTTAACACATAAATCAAAATAGAAAGACAGCCTAGGATGACAAATGATTTTGCTGGCATTGCATTTACCCCATACTTAGATATTATATATGAGATGAAATTTCCCACATATTCACAACAACTTTGAGCAAAAGAAAAGTTACAAAACTTTTCTACTACCTTGTTCATACTTGAGATGTATTCCTTTTCCTCCACGAAGGAGAAGGAAAGTAATTGTTCAGATGAATGTTCTTCTCTCAAATTACTCTGAGCAAAGACCAAAGTGAAAGCAATATAAATATTATTTCATTGCTTGTGAAATGTCATTGGATTGTGATTCTATTCTTGGTAGATAGGTAAAGAAATGAATATCCTTATGTGGGAATCATTCTATGATTTACTCCGGAAGAAATTAATCCCACATTCTTTTTGGTTGTTCTAGGTAAAGATATATGCTGCTCATGGAACCAATAATACCTCCGTTTAAGTTGGAACTAGATTTAAATACAGTATTAGAATATATATATATATATATAT